AATTTGGCTTATAACTCCGTTTATACGAAACTTTGAGGTTCGAGAAGGGGTTCCACTGGTTTCTTCGTGAAATTTTCCTCTACAGGCACCCCTTACAAGTTAAAACGTGACGAGATACCCATCAAAATTTGCAGTTTTAGTAAAACATTTCATGTCCGACCTCTCTAATTGACTCGATCCAATGTTCGTCCCCTTATTTTCGGTCGTGATCCAAAATTTCAGCATTTAGACTGCTTCACGAGCGATTCTTCTACAAGTTTACCGATAGTAGTCAACCTAGTCGGCTGTGTCTCTTGTATGCAAAATATGTACATGTTTCAGTTAAGAACCTTAAAATCTCTGTCTCATTTTAAAAACAACACTATGTGCCATTACTTCTCTCATGCAGATAGGTGTTTTTATCTACGAGCCAGAAATGTTAGTTCCTTATTGCCAAATGCAGTACAAAGCATCGTTGCCCTCACGAAGGAACGTAACCTCATTTCAATGTTGCCGAATTTCCCCTTGCGAATCTCATTATTGTTACCAGGATAATCTTGGGCATTTCTCAGTGAAAATTTTACTGATTCATCAGGCCGCTCATCTTATGTAAAAATTACAAATATTTCTGATAAAAATTGCATGGGTACATTCTTATAATAAATTGAGTTGTTTGAGTCAGTTTTGCAATTTTGGAATTAGGTTCCATTCCTTGGTCCAGGAAAAGACGAAATTTGAAGCTTTGAGTCAGTATCTTCTAGATACCATTAGATACATGATTCGTGATAGAGTCAGACAAAAGAGCTCTTAGGATGGAGAAAAATCAAACGCGGTAACTCCTACTCTTCACATATTGCAAAAAATTGCAATCATGTATTGAAATTGTTGCTATGTAATGTCGAATTGTTGTGCATGTTGTCTATTCACCAATTGAAGGGGCTCCTCTTATTGAAATTCAATGCAATGAAATTTAAATAAGTTGCGAATTGTTATGCATTATAAATTGCCTGCCTTTCTTCCACATATCGACGGTGAAACTACCAAACCACGTATCTCGTTTGCGGTGTTTAAAAATCTCCGCTCACATTTTATTTTTTTGAAGTAGACCAAATCAATATCATTCCTTGAAATTTTCACAGAATTTTCTTCGCACGAAGAGGAAAAATCACGGAAATTTTCAAGACTGGACGTTAAGTAGCTTTTTATTTAAAAAATAAAGTATGACAGGAAGTCTGCGACGTCGCAAACCGAGATACGTGGTTTGGTAGTTTCACCGTCGATATGCAACTCATTCTTTTGATTGTGTAAACTCGTCATTTATCGACCGAGTGATATAAAAATATAGCAATTGTATAGTAAAAAAGAATTGAAAAAGAATTTTAGTATTTTCGTTCCACTGTGTTAATCAGGCTAGAGGATTTCACAGTTTAGAGTTAAATTACTTCAGCGTGATTTCGCGCAAAAAAGCGTGCACTCGAAAATTAATCCTTTGAGCGTATTTCAAAGTTGGAGAGCGATAAATTGCAATTTTTATGTGAACCCAGATGAAGTTTACCAGTGCTGTTCTTAATTTTATGAACGATTTATATCAAACGGTTTTGACATTATCGAGAACCTGCCGTGCTAAGCAGGAACGCCGTAAATCCATCAAGATTTTCCCGCGTTTTTTCGGAATTTAACACTTGGTAAAATTAAAACTGTTTTCCCTATACACCTCAAATTTTGAAGTTAAGTTCTTGATAGTATTTGCAAAATAATTCCGTAAAAACATTTTCCTAAGGTTCACAAGTTTTCTGCTATGATACATTATTTCCAAAAAATTTGAAATGGCGTTTACGGCGTTTTTGCGTTGTACGGCAGAATAATAATACCTTTTGTCCCGATATGGTATTCAAGTGTGTCTAGAAACTGTCATGTCGGCACCTAAAATTAATATATTCAACTCCAAATCGGTAGGTTTGTCTCACTGAACAGTTAGAGTTTCCATCTGAAGAGCCCTTTTGCCGGCTCCATCACATTAGATAAATGGAATACCTTTTGGATGGAACGCACCGTGGGTGGACGCGCTCTGCACAATGACGGCGGTAGCATTCGCGGACAGGAGCAAACTATTTACCTGGTAACGGCTCATCACCGTTGCACTGACGGTTCAAAGGTCGCGAGGTCAACCCAGTCACTGAAGATCACTTCTGGTTCCTGTCATGCTCTTGATCCCCACGTCCAACGATGAGACCGGATCCCTGGCCGGTCGCTCGGCACTGACGCCGCCCCTTCATTCCTCGCAGACGCAATTCCTGCTACGCGCAGCGATTTCTTCGTCTCCACTCGCGGTCCGGGTTTTAGCAGGGCTTCTTTAGCTCCAATTTCCGGAACTTCCGACCTAATTTGATTCTCCGGTCTTTCTTGGCCCTTCTTTCGAGGACGATTCCGTCCCTTCAATAAATTGTGACGCATTTCGAGGAAACAGCTCTCATTTTGAGTATTTTTCGCTTTGTAGAGTGACAGTATGGATCCAGTAGAGGGTCCATATATGATTGGCTCGACTATCTAAAACTTGGTAAAGCCTTCAGCACGCAAAAAATGGCAGGCGTTGCATGCATATTTGGACTGCATTTTGCAATTTGAGGCTATAAATTCTGTCTCATCTGAAAAAAACACTTAGGTGCATAGGGAAACTAATGGCACATACGTTGTTTTTAAACCGGGCCGAAATTTATAGTTCCTAATGGCAAAATGTGGTCCATTTATGACCAAAGTGCGAAACCACGTATCTCTGTTTGCGACAGAGCAGCCTTCCTGTCGCGCTTTATTTTTTTCTTTGAGAAACTAGTCATTTTAATTTATTGGAAACTCTCCTGATTTTTACTCTGTTATTGGAATATTCTGTACCTGACAATTTCGAGCTATACATTTGACCTGTTTGTCTTCAAAAAATGAAATAGCTGCGGACATTTTGAGACACCGCGATGGAGATAATGTGGTTTTGTACTTTATCCACCAATATTATTCAAAATAAAAAATAGGGTTTTAATAGCTTCAATCGCTGTAAAAACTCAATTTACCCCTTTCTAAACCAATGGGCCTGTTGCATGCAAGAGATACAGCCGCGCGAATAGACTTTTTAGAGGTTAAATGACACGAAAATTACGATGGTCACATTAAAAAAGTCTGAAATACACTCCTTACTGCGCAATTTGCGTTGTTAGGAACGTGCTTTTTCAAATTTCCCGCGTCTGGGGGCAGTTTTCTAATCATCGGAAACGAGCAAACGGCGGGCTTCGGTGATTTCCGGAAGATGCCGAGTTGTTGTTGTTGTTATTTTTTCCTTCAGTTTGTTTCCAACCCAACGTGATCTCTCATAGTGGTCCATATACGCGTTATGCGGTAACCAAATCGATCAACTTTTAAATATCCAACGCAATCCTTTACATTTCATTTCACGATATCACGAGCTCCGATTTTTAGGTTATGTTGTCAGTTTTAGTTGACCGGAAATAGCCTTGAGTTACCGTCAATTGTTTCCGTTAGAAAACTGCCCCCAGACGCGGGAAATTTGAAAAAGCGCGTTCCAAACAATGCAAACTGCGCAGTAAGGAGTGTATTTCAGACTTTTTTAATGTGACCATCGTAATTTTCGTGTCATTAGACCTCTAAAAAGTCTATTCGCACGGCTGTATCTCTTGCATGCAACAGGCCCATTTTATGTATTATATTCGAAATAGTCTCTCGAACCCTAGCCGTAATTATGTCAAGATTGACAACAAGTAAAGCAGATGATAACCGTTATAGGTTTTGTCCCTTCTCATTCAGCGTCGCAACCATTGGTCCCTAGGATCTCTGCGGGATCTAGTATTCCCTAGAGCCCACTCTAGCAAAGAAGGATCTAAATTAAGTAACTGATCCATGAAAATTGCCACTGAAAGGAACCATGTTTGTAAACACGTTTTAATAGAGCCTACCTATGCATGGAGATATCAAGTACGGATACATCCTCTCTAAAATAAGCGAAAAATGTGGTCCCACTATGAAGGCTATTTCCATTTAAATCTTCCGTCACATTCATACGGCGCAATGATACAACTATTTGAACTCTCCGGAATGCGTGAGGTATCACGCCGCATTTGAAGGCGTTTTCAAAACAGCCAAGTTCTGATACCCGGATTATCGTTTTGCATAGTTCATATTCTTTTGTTATATTCCGTGCCACTCGTTTATTTTTAATCCTCGTAGAAAAACCACCCATTTGTAAATACAATTCTAGCTGAAGCGCACTTAAGCGCAAAAATGTCAAAGGAAATCGACACGCCCAGCGTGCATGGAGGCTATTTCCATTTAAATCTTCCGTCACATTCTTACGGCGCAATGATACAACTATTTGAACTCTCCGGAATGCGTGAGGTATCACGCTGCATTTGAAGGCGTTTTCAAAACAGCCAATTTCCGATACCCGGATTATCGTATTGCAACATTTTTTCGACGCATTTACCCAAAGTTTAAAATATTATTGAATTTGTGACACAGCAGCCATTTTTAGGAGTCGTTGATCGATGGTTTGATTTTTGATTGTTGAAAAAGTATTCTCTAGGGAACTTGGGCACTATCAGAATCAGATACGAAGATTTGAGAATTTGTCGTAAAACTTCTCTAAAGAATAAAGTGTATCTTACAAGTAACTGACAGCATCTTTTTGCACTCTCTTGAATTTCAAGCGTAGAATTTGGAAAAACGACTGACACTTAAATGGTTAACGACGGTACCAATCATAATATTGAACAAAACATCCTTTGGTATGATATGCGATTTACAAGCTATAGTGCGTGCGTGAAAAACTGTGACGCATTACAAAATTTAGGAAGGCGCATGCTTAGGAACTAGAGCGTATTTTCGAACTTCGCGCTAAAAGATTACACATGAGTACGTCATTATGATGGCGTCAAGGATGTCTATGCTCAGCCTCGGTTTATTCACTTAGAGACACTTCTCGGTGTGGTCATTTGGTCAATGCCGTCAATGTCAATAATCTTTATTCCCTTGTTGTTATCATGATATCACGATCGACTCATTAGCATTCATGCTTTTTGTAATGTAATTCTGTCTTCAAATTATTCAATTTTTCGTTACGGTCTACATTTGAAATTCTCTTTCGTTCTAGAGTGACACAATTGAAAGTGCGTTTAGTAAGTCAGAGTGGTATTACGCGCACTTTTTCTCAAACAGTCAGAGCTTTGTTGTTATCATGTGTTATCACCTTCAAAGTTAAAATCTTGAGTATTTGTGCAGCGTAATTTTATTTTTCGAATGAATCAAAGAATGATGTACGGTGATGTTGATTTTTCAAGCTGCGAGTAGTTCAATGTAAAGTTCAGCTGAGCTTTGATGAATTTTCTCTGTCTCTGGATCATGGTTGTTCAATCGTAGCCTTGGAAATAAAATGTAAGTATTCATCATAACATTTATTTCCTACCTTCAACAAGTACATTTTCATACTTCCTCTCCTTGTCCTTTTGTTCATCAGCTCCCGAAGCATGTGATTTGTGCTAATTAATTAGGATGTATATCTGAAGTTAACTGACAGGTGCCTGATCATTGGTTCCTCAACTGTTGATTCATTCCCTTCGAAAGATGAGTCAAGGAAATTTAAATATGTAAGTACCTAACTAGGCACTTCGCTCTTATTAGAGCGGAAATTTTTAATTAGCGTCTACAGTTTTAAGGTTTTTCCCTATCTTTACAAAATTATTAATTTTTTTATTTTTATTTTTCTCGCGTACACATGAAGCAGCAGCGATTAAAGACAATTGCTTCGACAACTTGTCTACATAAGGGCAGGAGCTTCAATGTGGGAGGGGAGGGGGTTGGGGGCTTTTTTAGGTATGAACCAAAAACTTCTACTAATGTCGATTAATTTCACCAAGTAGGTGCCTTTCCACTCACTATAACCTTCTACGCAGATTAATTAATCAAAATCTTACCACTGACCTTGAAGTAGGTAAATGTAGCTCATTGTTGTTAGAGTACCTGTATAGGGAGAGTAGCGACAGATCGGTTCATGGAGGGCTTAGGGCCCAAAAGTGCAGCCACCCTTCTGAGCAACTTCTAACACACAAAATTTCACTGCCAGCCTACAGCTTTCAATTCTAACCAAGATGGCTAAGAATGAACATAAATGAGCGTTCTTTCGCAAAAATAAGTAAATGTATGCAAAAAGTAAACCAAATACATGCTTTCTAAACGACGGTTCGTAACAATTGTATTTGTAAATCGCTCTGGACATTCGAAATTCATAGGTTGGCTGCCCTTTTGGGCCCTAACTTTATTCGCGGAGGCATCGGTGAAGGCCTGATGGACTTTCGGAGTTTCAGATCTGTCGCTACTCTCCCTATACAGGTACTCTAATTGTTGTCACCATCCAATCGAGTAACGTAGTCTTAGGATGTGTATCATCTTATCAATATGTGCCAAGTTTACTCTATCAGCACATGCGGAGCGGGGGAGGGGGGCGCGCAGAAAAATTATATTCCAGTCTGTGAAAAATCAAGTTGTTTAAAAGTATGGAGACGTATGCATTTTTCTCTCCTTACTTTTTGTTTTATTTGTTGAAATTTCACCAACTTATTTCGAAAAATATCAATTCTGAATTTTTTGGGGAATTTTCAAAAAAATTGTTTGCTTAAATCTCAAGACTTCAAAATCCTCTTAATTCTTTTTCTTTTTGGAACCCTCCAAATTTTCTGTATCAGGTCATAAGATTTTCTTCTGGAACTCTGCAGTTTACTCATTTTGCAGGATTAAAATTTTCATCAGGTTTATTTGGATAAATCTGGTAAGTCTGTGAGAAGTTTTCAGCAAGTAGTGTTCAATTCATGTTAGTGTCTGCTTTTTGAAAACATCGCTGGAAATGAGTGAATTTCAGACGCTTTTTTCTTTTATTTCCAAGTAAATCTCCTTTGATATCCTGATGTGCTAAGCATGATTTGTAAAGCAACTATTCATGTCTGAGAGATGTCTTTGAAGTATAAATGAAGAGTTAGTGGCACTCGGTCTTTTTAGATCCTCGCAGTGAAACCCGCTGCTAAATGAATGAGCCTTTCAAAGAGAAGGCATAAGCCGGCGAGGATGGCGTAAGCCGAAAGGTGCCTCAGAAGTTAATAAATTTTCAATCAACACTTTGGTTCTTATTCAAATCTACAAATTAAAATGGTGTTGTTCCAATCAAACCTTATTAACCTTTCAAAGACGTTGGACATTAATTTTTTTACTAAATCTGCTTTTGATTACATTTCTACACATTATAAATTGTATGGGATGCATGATGAAGGAAATTTTACGAGAAAATCTATGAAACCACTTCTAATAAAACCTCTATGTACCGTAGTAACATCAACCTGAGCTCTTAATATTTCTACATTTTGTATACTTATCTCACTGACTTGCTCCACTGAGCGCCGCTGTTGAGGCGGTTAGTGTCGGAAGTCAAAACGCCTTCACTTTTGTGCGTATGCAACACGGTCATCCATGGAGCCCGAATATTTGCATTCAGGCGTTATAATGAAATTCGTAAAATATCCGCCGCATGATGCGACACTGACTGAAACTTTGATTGTCTCTCTGTCTATCGTGCCGATGAAGTAAACATTATTGATTTCATCGCGACACTGTTGATTTTCCGAGGAATGCATTATTTAAATGTATTACAACGTTGGCGGCCTTCGAAATCGCCAACAAATATCTATGGTTGGATTGGTTACCTGGTTGCTTTTACCTAAACTTTCGGTAGATAGTCCGATTTCCTGTAGAAAGCTTGCTCTGCCCCCCCCACCCCTCCCATTCTTCATGAAATATTTCGTGCAAGTTGACGACCTTTTTTGCCCTCCCCTCATCAAAAAAGTACCTAAATTATAAGACAGGATCTAATGATCTATTATATCTAAATGGAATTTAAGTACCTATATCGAAACGAATTTATGAAACAGCACAAACAACCATAGTAGAACTGCAACGTAAGTACGCGGACAAGGAAACATTTCTAACATGTTGAAGACTTCAGTTGATCAGTAATTTATTTTTAAATTAACTTTCCGCAGTCTTGCCGAAGAAAATTCGTGTAATTAGGAACCGTTCAAACGAATTTCTCTCCCCCCCCCCCCC